AAAAACAAACAGCAGTCACTAAGACATACATCAGGAGCCGACTCGATGGAGTTTAATGTCATACCCAGAGAAGGGCACAGATCTGTTTTGAAAGGTGGAGGGGGAGGGCATTTTGTGAGTCGACACCCGCCCCAGCCCCACAATGGTTGGAGCTGAGGAAATAGTACCTCTAGATGGCCAGAAATGACACTTTTAGTAAAATTCATCATCATCACATCCATTAGTCAAAATGAAGCGCCAAAAAAAATTCTCATGATCTTTTATCAGGGATTTTTGACAACCATAGAGATCTTATTAATGTGTGTGTGTATACCATAGAAAACAAAGCTTAAAAACATTGTCTTTGAGTATGTACTTTACATAGGGCTACTTCAAAAACGTGATTTCACAACCACCTCAGCCCCACCATGGCTGGGGCTGAGGTGAGAAAATTTGAGAAAATAGTACCTCTCGAAATGGCTGGAAATGACACTTTTATATAGTAAAATTCATCATCATCACATTACCATTATAGTCAAAATGAAACGCCAAAAAATTTCTCATGATCTTTTATCATGGATCTACTTAATATCCAGGACAACTTAGGCCTAATTATAGCTTACTAAGCTTTAACTATATACCGGTATACTATATTATGATCAACAAATCACAACTTTTTTCGCATTTAACACTATTTTCTTCACTTTTTATTGTTATTAATATTAATATCAATCAGTAATATCGTCATCATCATCATTGTTATTAGGCCTATTATTAATATTACTATTAGTAGTAGTATTAATAAACAAACATTTAAAGAAACTTGCAAAAGGATAAAAACGAAATTGAACCACAGTATCGCATTTCTATCTCAAAAGACCTGGCCTGAGATTTATGGATTTAAGATTTTTTTTAAATCACGCTTAGGCCTATGTGTTCTATTAGGCCTATGTATAACGTGTACTGATGCATATTTACATGTTTAGATAGTATTCATTTTAAGTGATCCCAGAAAAGAATTTGTATTGGCTCAAGAATAAGCTTTAAAATTTTAACACCGTGTATAAAGGGAGGGGGGGGGGAGCTGCGTATACGTCCTAGGTTACGCTACTGTACGTCAGCCTGAATGATCAGGCTGCGCCATCTCGCGATTTAACCGTTCATGGGCCTTCCTATGCTTCTTCCATTCCAGTAATTATTTGTTTCCAGCCTTATCTATTGTGTAACATAACATAACATAACTATTGAACATACACTTTTAAATCAGTGGCACACGTTCTTAAGAGACGGTGCGTTCACACATTTACAATACAAAATGAAAAATATACAAAAATAAAGGAAATCAAAACAGCATATAAAACTTGATTTAAAAAAAAAGAAAGACGATTAACAAAATAATTATAAAGATAAGGTAATTTAAGTATTAAATGAATAATGTCACAGCCAATACTTAAATTAAAATGGAGTGTTAATTCTAGACTACTACAGTATTATTAAATCTATCAATTGACATTATAATTCATGATACACTTAATATTATATTAATTTTAATATAATATTGTTTCATTAAATAAAATTATCAGAGGTAATAACAATAGTATTATCAGTAATATCATCATTCTGTTTCCATTGGAGATGATATTGTTTTGTAAATTTATTTAAATTTTACAATAAGGTTTTTTAGTATTTAAATTGATAAATAGATATAAATTCAGTAAAAAAATGATAAATAT